GCGCGTTACTAAGTCCAGAGTCCAGTGCGTTACTAAGCCCAATGCGTTACTCAGCCCAGTGTCCAGTGCGTTACTAAGTCCAGTTTGTCTCTTTTATTACCATGGTTCAGCTTAGCTCTGCGCTGTCACTAAGAACATGGAGTATGCTCATCTCATGTGAAGTGTGCCGCCGTATTGTAATACCGGTCATATTCCTGTCTGGAGGGACGTTCACACACGTATGACATGAGACACAGAGGTGTCCGCAGGGCGTGTTGCAGATATTGGGGGGGAGGGGGGTCACAAGAGACGATTGGTGAGAAATTCAGACATCTGCAGACATTTTGTTTCATAATTTATTGCACTAAACCCATTTCCAGCGTCATTTAGGAATTCCTGGACCGAGCTCTCGTTTCCCAGGAGATACTCGTCCTCTAGAAGATCTCTCGCAGTATAAAATTACATTTGTCACAGAACACGTGGACAGTAAACCGATATCGCACACAAATTCAATCAACGTAATTAGAGTTCTGGATTCAAAATGAGAAAATGAACACAAAGCAGCATCAGAACATCGAGTGCCAACAATTCCCACCAATCAGGAGCCTCGTCTCACATCCTCATCATCTCCAGGGTTAAAACGGAAGTAGACTCGCCCATTCATGGCCGTCCCGTTTCCCAGCCTTAACTCAACCTCACCCTAAACATATCCTAACCCATCCTCAACCTGACCCAACCCATCCTCAACCTAACCAAACCCTGACCCAACCCATCCTCAACCTAACCAAACCCTGACCCAACCCATCCTCAACCTGACCCAACCCATCCTCTACCTAACCAAACCCTGACCCAACCCATCCTCAACCTGACCCAACCCATCCTCAACCTGACCCAACCCATCCTCAACCTAACCAAACCCTGACCCAACCCATCCTCAACCTAACCAAACCCTGACCCAACCCATCCTCAACCTGACCCAACCCATCCTCAACCTAACCAAACCCTGACCCAACCCATCCTCAACCTGACCCAACCCATCCTCAACCTAACCAAACCCTGACCCAACCCATCCTCAACCTGACCCAACCCATCCTCAACCTGACCAAGCCAAACCCTAACCCATCCTTAACCTAATCAAACCCTGACCCAACCCATCCTCAACCTGACCCAACCCATCCTCAACCTAATCAAACCCTGACCCAACCCATCCTCAACCTGACCCAACCCATCCTCAACCTAACCAAACCCTGACCCAACCCATCCTCAACCTGACCCAACCCATCCTCAACCTAACCAAACCCTGACCCAACCCATCCTCAACCTGACCCAACCCATCCTCAACCTAACCAAACCCTGACCCAACCCATCCTCAACCTGACCCAACCCATCCTCAACCTAACCAAACCCTGACCCAACCCATCCTCAACTTCACCCTAACCAAACCCTAACCCATCCCATCCTTAACCTCACCCTAACCAAACCCTAACCCAACCCATCCTTAACCTCACCCTAACCAAACCCTAACCCAGCCCATCCTCAACCTCACCCTAACCAAACCCTAAGCCAACCCATCCTCACCCTAAACAAACCCCACCCATCCTAAACCTCACCCTAACCCAACCCATCCTCACCCTAAACAAACCCAACCCATCCTCAACCTAACCCAACCTTAACCCTACCCCAACCCTTACCTAACCTAACCCCACCTTTACCTCACCCTAACCCAACCTTAACCCTACCCTACCCCCACCTTTACCTCACCCTAACCCAAGCTCACCTAACTCTAACCTAATCTTAACCTAACCCCACCTTACCCATATCAATGCCCACCATACACCAGATCCATAGTAAGTAATTGGAGAGAACATATTCCATTGTTTCTCTGTCAGGTTGGTAACGGTCACATGGGCCGTCACTGCTAAATTCTCTACACCCTTCAGGTGCCGGGATTTGCTCTACACTATGCCGGATTGACGTCAGTCCCCTCCCCCGGCAGGAGCTGCCTATTAGCCATGGAGAAGGATGTCTTCCATCACCAGCTCCATGGCGACCACTCTTCTGAAACCAGGCCCGAGTTCTCTCAGCAGGCTCCACTAGTGACGTCGGCGATGGGCGGCTCCTACCAAGCGAGGAGGCGGAGTGGCCGAATACAACAAATAGAAATGACTGACCAGGCCTGGGAGCCGCCCCCATTGCAGCACCCTCCAATCAATACAACAGAAATGACTGACCAGGCCTGGGAGCCGCCCCCATTGCAGCACCCTCCAATCAATACAACAGAAATGACTGACCAGGCCTGGGAGCCACCCCCATTGCAGCACCCTACAATCAATACAACAAATAGAAATGACTGACCAGGCCTGGGAGCCGCCCCCATTGCAGCACCCTCCAATCAATACAACAGAAATGACTGACCAGGCCTGGGAGCCGCCCCCATTGCAGCACCCTCCAATCAATACAACAGAAATGACTGACCAGGCCTGGGAGCCGCCCCCATTGCAGCACCCTACAATCAATACAACAGAAATGACTGACCAGGCCTAGAAGCCGCCCCCATTGCAGCACCCTACAATCAATACAACAGAAATGACTGACCAGGCCTAGAAGCCGCCCCCATTGCAGCACCCTCCAATCAATACAACAGAAATGACTGACCAGGCCTGAGAGCCGCCCCCATTGCAGCACCCACCAATGCTACACTGTTTCTGTGCAACTAAAATCTGAACTGTATTCTAAAAATGATTCATATTCATAAAAACAAGACAAACAGCCTATCAGAGGAGCCTGAACATCTCCGACCTCTAGTACCATATAAACCTGACCACGTGATTGGCCGCAGAGGTTCCATCAGGCATGTAGAGGACATACTAAGATGTCCTCATTTCTACTATTCTTGTCACGTGTACTATGTAGTGCTGGGAAAGGGAACTTTAACACCCGAGGTGAAAAGGCCAAAGTGTGCCCCTCCCCCTTCACTGCAAATGACCAAAGTTTCAGACCTTGCCCTTATTGTGCCCCGCATTTGCTGAAGTGCCCAAGGCAGCTGCCTCCTTCATCTACCCTTCGGCCGCGCCCTGCTAACATGCGTCACAGACATCCTTCCAATCGCAGTGTTATCGGAGAACTCTCTGCCCCCGATTTCTGTGTCTTAGTGTTATACGGAGGAGGTCCGTCCCTCGTGCACCTCGTCTATGGAGGGGGAGGCCGAGACGGAGGTCATCAGCACTCAGGAAACGGGTCACGTGGGTCAAAAAGCCAACATTTCCGGGGGCCCGGCAGTGTTCCCTTCCTCAGGGCAACTCTGAGACAATCAACACATAATGGGAACCCATAGCAACATGAGTCCCCGCCCCCCCTATGATGTCATGACATCACAATCCAGTGATAAAGAACATGTAGAAGGCGTGTAGCATGTAATGTACACGTGACGTGATCACCAGACTCGCCATTGTCAGCTAATAGAAGCGTCGGGGGGAGTTTGCTGCTCGTCTACTTTACATGGGTGGTGGGCGCCATATGTACATTACACGCTATCATGGGATTATGACGTCACGGAGATGCCCCGAGGAAGGGGGCCGTGCGAGGCCACAGGCCCCCCCGGGGTCATGTCAGGTTACGTGTTCTAAATAAAATCTTGCACATGCCGACTTGCTGCTGGCCATGCGTCGCAGCGACTCTTCCTGTATCACATCGGGTCCATTTAGTTATACGGGGGGAGGACA